CTGTTATATACTCTACTTCAATTAAGGATAATGCATAAATAGATTGGAGAGATGCTCTCCAGCTAATAGAAGAGTTATAAAGGGTGAAAATACAAGCAAAAAGAGACTTTTGTCTATCAAAATCACGACCATAATCAGAGTTAGTAAAGCTAACAACATCATTAGATACAGCCTTATTTCTATCAAATGCCAGACCAATATTAAAAGTACCTTTCAAATAATGGATGATTCATTTAACAGCACCCCAATGACCCTCTCCTTGATTGTGCATGTATATGTTTACAATACTTACTGCATATGCTAAATCAGGTCTGGTACATATCATGGAGTACATAATACTACCAGCAGTACTTGAATAAGGAACTCTTGACATTTTCTTAATATCCTTTTCAGATTCTGGGCAAAGATCATTAAATAATTGAAAATGAGCAACAAGAGAAGTAGACACAAGTTCACACTCACTCATATTAAATCAATCAAGTACCTTCAAAATATATTTCTCTTGAGATACAAATAATTTAACAACTTGACGATATTTATGAATTTCCATGCTAAGAATTTTTTTTGCTGTACCACGGTCCTTCATATCAAACTCCTTAATGAGTTTTTATTTTAATTTGTTAATCAAAGATTTCTCTTTAGAAGCAATAAGCATATCATCGACATAGAACAACAAATATAGAAAGGACTCATGGGAAAATTGTCTAAAATAAAACACAATTATAATTTTTGCTTCTATTAAAGCCTTACTCAATCATAAAAGCATCAAACCTTTTATGCCACTGCCTGGGAGCTTGTTTTAGGCCACATAAAGATTTCTTCAAGTGACAAATGTAATGTTCCTTTTTGGAAACCATGAATCCCTCAAGTTGCTTCATGTAGATCTCTTTATTGAGTTCTCCATGTAAAAAAATGCTATTTTAACACCAAGTTGCTCTAGCTCCAAATCAAACAAAGCAACAAATTCAAGTAGCACACGAATGGAGGTATGACAAACAACTGGAGAGAAAATCTCATTAAAATCAACTCCTTCCTTTTGATGACCTCCTCAAACAACTAATCATGCCTTCCACCTTGCATTTTCAACCTCAGGGATACCATCTTTCTTTTTATATATCCACTTACAGCTTAAGACTCAATTGCCTTTAGAAAGCTCACATAAGTCCCAAGTACCATTCTCATAGAGACTCTCAATTTCTTCATTCATGGCTAACAATCACTTAGATGAATTAGCATAAGAAATAGCTTTAGAGTAATTAAAAGGCTCAACACCTTCAAGGATATCTTGCACAATAAAAAATGCATAAGCAACTAATTCATCATTGATGTATCAAGCAAGCTTTTTAATATTCCTTCTTGGACGATCTTGAGCAATAGAATATTTTTGCTCTTGATAGATAGTAGGGGTGGTACTTGTAACATCATCATATATTTGATCATTACATCCTCTATCGGAGGAAGATTTCATAATAAAAGAAGGAGAAATAGCTTTCACCTCTAACCCCACCTTTTTACTAGTACTCTGCTCATTACCTGCATCAGTAGAAGGAGAGACACAAGAATTTTTTCGAAAAAAAATAATGCTTCTTTATTAAATGTAACATCTCAACTAAAAATAACTTTCTTCCCATTAGACTTAGAACACAATAACCAATATCTTTTAGATTCATATGTATATCCAAAAAATATACATTTTTTTAGCTTTTGGAGCTAATTTACCATCATTAACATGTACATATGCAAGACACTCCAAAATTCTTAAATTAGAATAATTAACAAATCACCTAACCAAATTTCTTCTGGAACTTAGAAACTAAGTGATGTGTGAGGTGAACGATTGACCAAATAACATACAGTGGAGGTAGCTTTTGCCCATAAATCATGCCGATGCCATAACCTAGCATTAGAGAGCATACAATGTGCTCTCTCAAGTAGAATTCTGTTAATACATTCTGCAACACCATTTTGTTGGGGCTTTCTTACAATTGTCTTATGTATAACAATGCCATTATTAGTATACAACTCATTAAAATCATTTTTAACCCATTGTTTGTTCTCAACTTTTTAACTTTTTTCCCTATTTGATTCTCAACTAAAATTTTCCACTTTTAAAAATAAGAGAAAGCTTCATTCTTACATCTGAGAAAATAAACCCAAACTTTATGAGAATAGTCATCAATAATAGTCATCATATAACGACGTCCTCCAATAGAAGGATATTTTAAAGGTCCCTGTAGATCAAAATGTGCATAGTCAAGAACACCTTTAGTGTTATGAGTTATAATAGAAAAACTAACTCTTTTCTGTGTTTCCCAAAAACACAAGATTCATAAAATTATAATTTATCAATACTTTGACCAGATAAGAGACCTTTCTTACATACAATATTCATACCTTTCTTGCTCATATAGCCCAATCGCATGTGCCATAATTTGGTAGTGTGAGGATCATCAAGCATAGATGTTGAAATAGCCACTAAACCTGTAACAGCAGAACCTTACAATACATGAAAAGTACTATGACACTTACCTTTCATATAAAAGAGAGAACATTTAGAAACTTTAAGGACTCTACATTCAGCTGAATGCTTATACCCTTGAGATTCAAGAATACCTAAAGAGATCGAATTCCTTTTTACCTTGGGAACATAACGAACATCAGAAAGAGTTTTACTAATATTATCATGAGTCTTGATCTGCATTATACCAATTCCTACAATCTTGCATTCATTATAATCACTCATCAAAACAATACCACGATCAACAAATTCATGAGTGGCAAACCAGTCTTTATGAAGACATATATGAAAAGTGTAAGCAGAATCATGAATCTAGTCAATTCTATTCCTCCTATCAATAGAGGAAACAAACAATAAAACATTACCATCATACTCCATCTCAATAACATTAACTTTAACGGATGATTTTTGAGGATGCTTATTTTGTTTTTCCCTTTCACAGTTCTTTTTTAGCCTATAATACTGAGATATCTCATGACCTGACTTCTTACAATAATTACAAGTTTTATCATTGTTCTTGGTTTTATGTTTCCTAGACTTATATCTAGATTATTTAGTACCTTCCTTTTCATTACTTCTCCCCTTCACCTTTAAACCTTTACCTATGTCCTTAGAATAAACTTCAAGACCAAACTTTTCTTTGGACAATAAATTAGATTTTATATCTTTAAAGACTAGAGTATCTAAATTTCCATAGAGTATAATCCTTTTGAAATGTTTGTAAAAAGGAGGCAATGAGACAACCAACAAAACAACTTTATCTTAATCTTTAATTTTGACATCAATATTTTCTAAATCCATAATAATGAAAATTAAATTCATCAAGATGAGACTAAATAGGAGTACATTCAACCATACAAATGTTATATAGCCGTTCTTTGAGACGAAGCTTATTTGCTAAACTTTTTGTTATATAGAGAGATTCCAGCTTCAACTACAATGAAGCCATACTGGTCTCATTAATCACTTCTCGTAAAACTCTCTTGGATAAGCATAGTTGAATAGCCCAAAGAGCCTTTTTATCTAAATCTTCAAATTGCTATTACACATAGTCACCGACTTTTTATCATTTCCAAGTGAAGCTTTCTTCAACTCATTTTGAGTGAGAACAACTTTCATTTGAACTTGCCAAATAGCAAAAATAATCTTGCCATCAAATTTCTCCATGTCAAACTTTGTAACAGTAGATATCATGAAAATTTTTCAATTAAAAACTTGGCTTTGGTACTACTTATTAGGAAGTGAGCAAATAATCAGCGAAAAAAAAAACAAGATAAAATAATTGGAAAATAGAAAATGGTAAAAGATGACACAAGAAATTTAACATGGGAAAACCCACAATTTGAGAGACAAAAAAACCCACGAGCAATGAGCGAGTTATTTCACTATAGAAAATAAAAATTACAATAATTGTCTTTGCTATGGGAGACGGAGAGACAAGATATATAGAGTTTCTTATTAACTAAAAATATGATATTGTTTAATAAAAAATATCTTCTAAAATATTAAATAGAGATATGATAAATTTACACCAACATAATATATAAAATAATCACAAAGAATTATAAAGATTTGAGTTATAATCTCAGCAATTATGTTTTGAATCCATTTCTATAATGTATATTCATTTCCCAATTTTTTTTCCCAAACAAAAAGTGCTAAAATTCTAGAATGTTAAATGGAGGTTACCCAAACAGTGCCTAAATATAAGGCACGTTAAAATAGTTGACTTTTATGTTAGATCTGTATATCTTAATTCATATAAACAAGTAAAGTAATGTATGCATGCATGAAGAATCCATGAGTGTTTGAGAAAGCTCGATTACCTCGAGTATAGACAGGTACATAACCAACTGATCCTCAAAGCCTTCACAGAGTTTAGAGATAATGGAAGCAGAAGAATGAGTTGTGTGTATGCGGTTATCGACTGATCAACTTATATAGATCAGATTGGTAATCGCCATATTATATAATTAAAATAAAATAATTAGTTTCATTATCTCTGACTCAATCAATTAAAAGATATAAAATAACTGACAGCTATTGGGTTGTGAGTTGAGTCTCTACCCATTGGGTTCACTTGTGTGGTCCACCTATCACGATCCACACAAGATCATAAGGATCAATCTATTGGGCTTATTAATTAATGTTAATTCATAATAAATAAATATTCCAACATTTTATTCTAATCTGCAAACTTAAATTTATTCTCATGTCAGTTTTATAACTTTTAATTCAACTATATACATCTAGAGTTATGCATTAATGTCAACCTCCTTTTGTTCTCTCTTTTTATTGTTTTTGATTCCGAAATCTGTTTGGACCGAAACAGGCTCGGTTGTGTACGATGACTCGACCTAGCCATATGCCGGGGTATCCGGGGTTGGGCTGGGCCTTTCATTCAAATTTGTAACTCGTAAGAATTTATTTATTTTAAATAAGTCAACACAAAAGAGTTTTTGGGCAGGCTCGTCTCCATTAGATTCCTAACACATGTTCCAAAACTCATCTTATGTGTCCGAGGCGAAGGATTTAGACCGGAACGACGGATATATCCGGTCGAAGTATTTACGTATTTCCTATCCGGAGAAAACCCCAAAACCCTAGAATTTCCGATTTCTGAAACCCACTGTCCTCGCCTTTTCCTCGAACAGGTGAGCTTGAGATTGCGAACTTGACCAAATTATGGACTTTGACGAGTATGATTACTTGGAGAAGACAGTGGAGGAGCAGGGAGATCAAGATTTGACGAAGAGCAAGGAGAAAAACGACAAGAGTGAGAGGGCTTACCGGAAGCGTGACGTCGATGATGATGTCGACGGCGAAGACAAGAAGAGCAAGAGGTCCAGGGGCGATGACGAGAATGGGTCGAGGAAAGATCGTGAGGACCGCGAGAGAGAACGGTCTAGTCGAGAAAAGGAGCGGCATAGGAGTAGCAGAGACAGAGAGAGGGACGGCGATAGGGAGCGAGAAAGGAGGACCAGCAGGGAAAGAGATAGGGAGAAAGACAGAGACAAGGAGAGGGAAAGAGAGAGAAGGGATAAAGAGAGAGAGAAGGAGAAAAGAGAGAAAGATAGGGAGAGGGAAAAGGAACGGGAGAGAAGGGAGAGAGATAGGGAGAGGGAAAGGGAGAAAGAGAGGGAGGAGAGAGAGAGGTCCAGGCGAAGCAGAAGTCGTTCTGAACGAGATAGAGAAAGAGAACGGGAATTGGAGACTAGAGATAGCCGGTAATGGTCTTTCTTGCCGATATTGTTTGTGAATTATTGCTTGTTACTCTGAATATTGTTCTGCGTGTGATTTTGTGTTATCTGCCATCCATCTGGTGAGCCCCGTTCAGCTTCAGTTGAGCCACGGTTCTATTAAATTAGGTTCTCTTTTCCCTACACCTGTTATGTTTGCACTCCGAAAATCACTCAAGGGTATCAGTCGAAGAAGAAGCCAGAGTAGGCTAAATTAACTAGCTCTGAAGTTCTTATTTTGGTTGAATGAATAAATGCATCTTTTGGCCTGCTGTGCCTTGTCTAAACTTTAAAGGCTTGGCTAAACAAAACGTATCCTTATGGGATGAGTTTGTTCACCCTCCCTATCATCCATGTTTTTTCACAGGTGGTTGAGTAAATTTAGACTAGCATACAGTTAAAATGACTCTGGATTCTTTTATTTATGGTTTTTTTCTCTCTAGTAGTTCCCACTCATTCCCAGTTATATAACAATCAGATTGAAATGGTTATATTCTCGTAAGTAAGTAATGTATTTGTTAAGCTTGACCCTCAAGTTTTGGGCTTTTGAAGTTATTGTTGAGAAATTTTCTGTTTTAACGTATGTTTGTGCCGGTAATATTGCCCTATTCTTTTCCAATTAATCTATGCCATTCACATTCTCCTGCTGTTCTTTCCACTTTTTACCTTGTCAAAGAATGGTGTATCTGATCTCTCTATCTTACTGGAGGAGACACCCTAAAGTGTCTCTCCCCCCCCTCCCTCTCTCGATTGTATGCGTGAAATCGAAACCATCACTCTGTTACCTAGACATGTTGTATAGTAGCTCATCTATGACATAACTTGAGCAAGTGGTGGTGACTTTCTCTTTTTCGTGTGTTTGAGACTTAAATATTTGTGGTGAAATTTCCTACCATGAACTTATTGTTTAATCAATAACTGGGATATTTTTTATTTGATCTTGATCATTGAGTCTCATTTTGAATAATTGGATAGGATTGCAACATGAACAACTCTGAATAAATTTTCACACAAAATTGAGGGGTAAATTCTTGGCCAGAAGACCTGATTGGTATGCATTTATTTGACTGAGTTTTGTTTGAGCTTGAAAGTTTGGGTCATTGAGATGTTATAACCTTTCAGGATATAGCGCCATCTTAAACTCTAGCGTATACTTCATCCTTACCCTATATAAACATGGAAGTTATTGAAGATCATTTTTTCTATACAATTTGTTATATGCAATTATATTTTATTTATATTGCAGGAGGTTTAGGGATAAGAAAGAGGCTGTGGAACCTGAGGCAGACCCAGAAAGGGATCAGAGAACTGTTTTTGCATACCAGGTTGAAGGGTTTGCATTCTCTCTGATTGTTCATACTTTTTTAGATACTTGATACGCATGACTGATGATTGCCATTTTCTTTTGCGATAATTGTAGATGCCTCTAAAAGCAACAGAGAGAGATGTTTATGAATTCTTCTCGAAAGCTGGCAAGGTTAGATTTTTTTTTATTTTGGGTGTGATCCCTAACTCATTGGTATTTTGGTGTGATGTGTTAATCACTTGCATTGGGAATCCCATTGTTGCTAACTTACCATTAGAACTATCGGTTTGTATGATTTTTCCAAATCTTGTTTTGCTGGTTTTCTTCAGTTGATGATTGAGGGTATAAACATCATATTGTTTGAGATGGTGTTAAAGTGTAGTGAATATAAATTATTAAGCTGAATTTGGTTGCTGTTGCATTTACTTTTCTGCCTTCAGTTTTAAGTCGTATAATGACTTTCCTTAAGTCCTAACATTCTATTTTTGCGTATTGAGTTTGCTTGAATTTGGATTAGTCAGAGTCCAACATGACTTTGGATACCATTGTTTGTCACAAAAAAAGAAAATAAATTATATTTTACGGAGCATATCATATGGAAGAAGTCATCGGTGAATTCTGCCATTTGATAATTCTTGTTATATTCTGTTGTAATGCTTTCATTTTCAGGTGAGGGATGTTCGTTTGATCATGGATAGGAATTCAAGGCGGTCTAAAGGAGTTGGGTATGTGCCATCTAGTTAACATATTTAGCTTGTATGTATGTCCTATTATGGTATTGGGATATCTAATATTAAGAATCATATTTAACTGTATTCTTAAATGAACTAGCATTGCGATATGATGAGGGATGATGGGAATACCTTGCACTCATGTTTAGTCAATTCATGCTGCGTGCTCAAGGTAGTGACGTGACCCTTTTTTCCTTTCCCAATTTTTGTCCTCTATGTTTGCCATGCAGTGAGGATATCAATCTTATTGATGAGCCTTCTCATTATTTTTGCTTCCATTATGATTTGAAGGCCATCTGTGCAAATTATGGGGTGGGATTATGATAAAGTTGATGATAAATCTCATATTGGAGGAATTCCTTTGTTTTAGTTTTAGTTTTATTGTTGCATGTGTGACTGTGGTAGGTGTCTAGATGAGGTGTGCGTGAATTTTGTGATGTCATTGCTGTTTAGCTCATGAGATTAGTTGACAATTTATTGTACGAGGCCAGCTGCCTCTCAATAAGTCAGGGCCTTTTTTTAAGGGATTTGATCTGTACATGTGAACGTGATGAGTGGAGATGACTTGCTACCTTGGACTTTCTACATCTATGATTATTGATGGTGTCACCAATATCACATAATTGGATTACTTTAGCGGTCATTGTAATTTGTGCTCTAGGTTTTTCAACTTTTATTATCTCACTAACTAATACTTTCTTTGCATGAGTCAGATAAACAAAAGAAACTCTGTTAGAACTGTCTTCGCTAGAGTTCTCTCTCTACATCTCTTTGCTTTATGCATTGTAAGTCTTAATTTCAACTTTTTGAATGTTATTGGTATGAAAACTTATGTAAGTTCTTGGTGGGGATGCAGGTACATTGAATTTTATGATGTGATGTCAGTGCCAATGGCAATTGCCCTGTCCGGCCAACTGCTTCTGGGACAACCTGTGATGGTCAAACCTTCAGAGGCTGAAAAGAACCTGGTTCAGTCTAATACTACCAGTGGAGGTGCAGGGGTAGCAGGACCATATGGAGCAGTGGACAGGAAACTTTATGTGGGGAACCTTCACTTTAACATGACTGAGGGTCAGCTGAGGGAGGTAATTGGTTCTTTTCATAATTTTTCTGTACATTGATTTATGAGGGATGAGCAAAGAGATGTATTTGGCATGAATTCTCTTGCATGTTGATCAGGAATACAAAGGACTGATGTTTATTGAATTCTTTTTAACATAACAAACTTCACATCCTGTCATAGCCAACGAATTAGTTTTCTTGAAACTGGAACTGTGCATCAACAATGATATGTAAGTAGCTTGTTAATAAGTGGAATCTTGATTTATCACTCACCAACTTCTGTTGTTTCTTGTTTTTGGTTTAGATTTTTGAGCCGTTTGGTCCAGTGGAGCTTGTTCAGCTACCCCTTGACATGGAGACCGGACACTGCAAGGGTTTTGGCTTTGTGCAAGTTAGTTATCTACTCTGATAGACTATTAAAAATGCCTTTGTGGATATAATAGTTTTATTTATCCATTTAATTTCTTTGGACAGTTTGCTAATCTCGAACATGCCAAGGCAGCTCAGAGTTTGAATGGGAAATTAGAGATTGCTGGTAGGACTATCAAGGTAGTGATCCTTATTCCCTCTTGTGTGTGTTCTCATGTGTTGATCATTTTGCTTGCTCCTGTCTGAGTTATTCTGTTTATCATCCGCAGGTTTCATCGGTTACAGATCATGTTGGAGGCCAAGATACAACTGCAAAATCTGCTGATTTGGATGATGATGAAGGTGGATTGGTAAGTTTAACTTCATTTGACGGAGTACTGCAAAATTGCTTTTCACTGGTTGACTATAATTAAAATCTTGCCGAACAATATTGCAATCTTAGTTAATACTAAGAAACTGAAAAATGTTAGTGAATATCTACTTGACACTGATTGATGCTTTGACCAGCTGGAATTGTGTTTCTGATATTATTTCATCAGCTACGATTATTTTAAGATCTATGTTTAATGTAGGCAGATTGTTGAGTCCATTGCTGTATGACAGACAGGTGTATGAAGTTTTGGTGCTGTTCAGAATTGGTGCCTATATTTTTGGGTCAAAAATCGATAAATATCTATTTTTTGTGCTGTCCTCTCTTAATTGAATATATCAAATAAATGCTAAAAATGTCTTGATAAATTAGTGTTGCCTAACCCCCCCCCCAAATCTTCATTAGGCTTTAGGTTCAATGTGGATGGCATTACTTCCAGCATTCCCTCTTTCCTGGTCTGGTTACATGTTTGATTTCCTTTTTCTCGTTATCTTTGAGTTTGAGCTTAAGCCAGTTGTTCTGCTTTTTGTTTTTGTCCTGTAATTTTTTAACTACAAAAGTAATTGAATGATATATTTTGCTTTTCTATGCAGTCTTTGAATGCTCAATCTAGAGCGATGCTTATGGCAAAGTTGGACCGCTCTGGTATTGCCACAAGGTTTGTCTGTACATGTTTGCATGTGAGTGTGCGTTTCTATCTGGTTATCTTGTCTATCAATTTAACAAATGTGAAATTCTGCAGCATTGCAGGGTCTATTGGTGGAGTGCCTCTTGTGAATGGCTCAGCCCCTGCCCAGCAGGCTATTAGTTTGCCAGCTGGGGGTCCAGGTATGGTACCTGCGTCAGCTCTCCCAACAGCCATTATGCCTGCCCCAGGAGCAGAGCCAGTTGGAACCCCCAGCGAGTGTTTGCTGTTGAAGAATATGTTTGATCCAACCAGTGAGGTCCGCTTCGATACATTTCATGATATGCTGTTCAATTTTGTGAGGTGATGTTGCTTTGCATATACTAATATCTAATTTTACAAACAGACGGAACCAGATTTTGACGAGGATATTAAAGAGGATGTAGCAGAAGAATGTTCTAAATTTGGTCGGGTGAAGCATATTTATGTTGACAAGTAAGTTCCTGAAGGCCTGGTACTCGTCCACACATCTGTCTGTGAATCTACTTTGTTCTTTTTTTATTTTAAATGGCAAATGCGAGTTGTGGGAAACTCCTTAATCGTTTCATCTCTTGCATGCAGAAATAGTGCAGGTTTTGTGTATCTACGGTTTGAAACAGTGCAAGCAGCTAGTGGTGCTCAACAGGCAATGCACATGAGATGGTTTGCCCGCAGGTTGATTTCAGCGGTGTTCATGGTAATACTATGCTGCCTTCATTTGTTTTTCTTGTTTGATATCTTGGAAACATTGTGATGTAGATCAGTGACTAGAAGGAGGAAAGGAAAAGGAAAATGGGAGAAATAGTCAAAAAGTGGGTGGGAGGGAAGTTAGGGTACAGAACTGAATATTCTAAATGCTGAAAATTTCTATTCCTGCAAAATATAGATAATAAAAAAAGTTACCACTAACTAAGCCGTCTATTAGACTATAAGTTGGTCTCTTGAGGCTAATTGTTGTGGATCGCCTTATTCATGAGCGCATAATTCATGCTTGAATTGGTCTATACCCATTTCTTCGGTGTCTTGATTTTCATTATATGTTGCCGATCATCTTTCTTAAACTTGCGGTATCGTATCTTTTGCAGCAACCTCAGGTATATGAAGCGAAGTTTAAAGGAGAAGCTTGAACAAGTGCTCGACATTTTCTTACCTAAGCTTGAACAAGTGCTCGACATTTTCTTACCTAGCAGAGTACTCACAAATTTGAGTTATAGTTTTGGTAGACTGACTCATGAATTGTATTTGATGTAGCAAATTATGATTTCTGTTGGCCAAGTAAAGAATCAATTGTGTTATCTGCTGGTGATATTAAGAATCGTTTTGGCATATTCAATCTGTGTAATTTCACTATCATGCGACTCTTCATTTTATTTATCCTTTCGACACTAGGAATAGGTTGAGTAAGAGAACGTGGTAAAATATACACCTGTTCATGTGATGTTACGCGGTGGGTCAAAATCACACCTTCTAAGGTTTCTACTTTCTAGTACGTGTTTTAATTCTAATTTAATTTAGTTTAATTTGTGCTCGTCAATGCCCCTTTTATAGGAGAAAGGATGGAAGGGGGAGAAAGGGCTGCGAAGTGAGGGAGGTTTCAAAGGTTAGCTCGGCCATGTTTTCCAACGTCTGCAGCTCGTATAATTCTCGTGTTTAAATGTTCTTGGATTAGTTCATGTTAAATTTAACTTTGACAATAAATTCTTTAAAATTTTAAATTTGTTAAAGGGGCTTGTGGTACGGGTAATTTTAATGATTTGTCAATAAAGGTACAATCTAATTGAGTTTTATTTTTTATTGATGTTTGAGATTTAACGAAATAGTGAATAATTGGGTTTGCTTTTTGTGGCAACAAAGTAAAAGTTGTGAATGTATGAAGAAAATCATAAGTTTCAGCTGTATTATAAATTTATAATGCTAGAAAATTGGTAGTTAGAAGCACTTATCTTATGAAAAAGCCATTAATGAGTATGTGCATGTGAGAGTAACCTTTGGCATCTTTCAAAGGGTTGTTTTCTTTCGAGCAAAGTTTTTTATACAGATACAAAGCTCCGAGAATCAAACGAGAGAAGTGAATTTTAATGTTGTTAATAATATTTAATAACAGGAGTTTCTTATGAAATAAGTGATATACAAAAACTTACATTTCTTCATTTAATCAAAAATAAATATCTTGACTATATGATGTTAAATATGTACTCCCTCTATTTAAAAAATATAATTTTTAATTAAATTATATTCTTAATAAATTAATTTTTTTAAATTTATATTATTTGTCTATATTTACTCTTATTTATTAAAGTCTCTCACTTAAATATGAATGGTTAATTAATTTATTTATCAAGGACATTTAAAAAAGTTAATTATGATTTAAAACACTAAAATTGTCTTATATTTTTTAATATCAAACATCTCATAAACTTCTAAACTCCAAATTGATTATATTGACATATTTTATTAGCATTTATCAAAAGGATTTAAATATTATATTTCCGTTAGGTTGAGAGCCAAATGCAACCATAACTCTATGTAAAAGGATTGGCATTTAATTTTTATATCTAGATAATTATGCATTTAACAGAATATAAAAACATTTTATGATTAAAATTATATGTTTAATTAAATTATTTTCAATTAAATTGAAATATTTAAATTTTAAAATTAGTCAATAATAACTAATTACATCGTAAATAAAAAAAATGGGCAAAAATTAATTTTTTTCATTTGATTAAAAAACGTATTTAAGGTGAGTGCTGAATTTTTTTAAAAAATTAAATAGTATTTATTTTTAATTTATATTATATCTTATTTTTTAATTTTTTGAAATATATTATATCTTTTTTTTCTTTTTTGGTACAACACATAATTTTCGAGTTAAATATAATAAAGTCAGGCAATGAAAAATAGCCCATAGGTCCCGTAGGCCCATTTGTTGGTTTTACGTTTGGCGGTCACGTCGGCGATAAGACCGCGATCCTACTCCATTGGTGTGGTACGAAGCTTTCGGCTTCCAATTTCAAATCAACAGAGAATCTCACAAGGATAGACGGAGTGAGTGGCACTGTCGTACCCTGGTGTCGAATCTTCAAGCCCTCGCTTCCAACTAGCGCTCACAATAACTGTACGATTGGCCTATAAACCCTAGCAAGCATGCTTTAGTTTTGATTCTGTTTGGAGATTGTTGAATGTTATTGATTCCTCATTTCTGAAAATTTGGGGTTGTGCTTTTTGTGTGTTTTGGCGCTTGCGAACAGATGGATAGATATCAGAGGGTGGAGAAACCTAAGGCTGAGACTCCTATAAATGAGAATGAGATGCGCATTACTACTCAGGGCAGGATGAGGAACTATATTACTTATGCCACCACTCTCCTCCAGGTATTTCGCTTATCCACATCCAAAGAGCAAACTTTAAGGTCAATGGTTTTTTCTAGGGGAAGAACAACTTTTCTAAGGTCTGGGTTTTAAGATACCGACAATTTTATGTGCCATATTTATGCTTACGAGCGAGAAATTGAGTGTTATGCTTTAGCTTTCTTTTCCTCTTAAGAGGGATAGTGCTGTGTAGAACTCCTGTATTAGATTGATCTCAGACTCTAGAAAACTTGCCAGCTGCAATTTTCTTTCGTTCGTGTTTTCTCCCTTCCTCTCTTTGAATTTGATTTGCATGCATGGACGCATCGATTTATCTAAGAATAGCTATTGCCTATTATATTATATTTTCGACTTATATTCATTAGTACTGTATTGTCCACTTTATTCCTCTTGTATATTATGTAGGAGAAAGGATCTGATGACGTTGTTCTAAAAGCAATGGGCAGAGCTATTAATAAGACTGTTATGATCGCTGAACTGATCAAGGTAGGAAGCAGGTATCTCTGTGTTTATGTGGTCAATGCTTGGTTCTATGTTTATCGGTTTCTCTTGCTTGGAGAGTAATCTTTTTCTTTGTTTCAGCGAAGGATTGTTGGCCTGCACCAAAATAATGCTATTGGTTCGACTGATATTACAGACACGTGGGAGCCTCTTGAAGAAGGCTTACTTCCGTATGGAATTGTTCACCCTCTCCATTTCCTATTTTCATTTTTTTGGGTTGCAGAGTAGTGACCCTTTGGTTTGCTCATTATCCCTCAGGTTGGAGACTACTCGCCATGTTTCAATGATCACAATTACTTTGTCAAAGAAAAAATTGGACACATCCTCCTCCGGGTAAGAAATTGTTCAATATTCTCTGACATGATTGATTATTTTTAGATACAATGGGAGATAATTTATAATTATTAAATATTTCAAAGCTGTAGGTCGTATATCATAAGTTAAGATCATCTTGGTTAATTCAGTTAGGAATCAGGGTGATGACCTGAGCTTATATATAAAATATCTTTTTGGCTGCTTCTGATGTCTACTGATGGATGTTGTAATGGCTGCTTTGCTTTGGGAAGTAGCAATTGAATTAATACTGTTTAATTCTTCTGTCATAATAATAGCTGTAGCATATATGTACTGTAGTCCTTGCTTTTGTGTTGAGTGTTAGCCATATCTTTCAATGGATGTCCTATCGAATATAACAGTGTTATTGTCAAACGAGGCATTAAATGGTTTGGGAGCTGGAGATCCGTTTTCAAAATATTGTTTAGTAAATTAATTATTTTCCCCTAGTTCAACAAAGTTCATTGTTTCCAGTATTCATCAGAGTCTCCAATTTTAACAGAGTATAAGTCCCTTGTTTTTGATATTTAAGAGCCTTCAGTATTGTAATTTCAGAAATGACTAAAGTCCCCTTGATTTTAGCTTAAAGTTTTAAATATTGGAGGCACCGTGCTATAATTATGATGGGTAAGATTTTTCATTTTGACTGCTAATTTTTTTGTCACTCTGATGCTGTGTCGGGGACGAGATATTGTATATTATTGACTTTAGAAGCAGTGAATGTCTGGTATGCTGACGTGGCTGTACATATTGTCTCATTGTCCTCTGGTTCTAAATTTCTTACAGACTGGTAATACACTTCAATTTCAAACATTTTTTTTTCCTGTTTTTTGATGTTTGTTCATTGTCGCTTAATAATGGTGCTCTCTGTTTGTTGATTCCCTTGCTGGATTCTCATCAGTCTTTTATGTCTGAATAAATATTACTCTGCTGTCATTGGTTGAGCTCTAACTTTTATCTTCCGTTTGAGAAAGAATCTTGGAAGATGCTAATTTGCAATTCGTTTGTCTCTCTGTTGATCTGTGCTGACAAAAGACTTCTGTTGGATGAGAAGGATGATTTCATATTTTGTTTTGATGTTGGTTTATGCTAGTATTGTTTAGGGGTTTGTAATTAGTTAGTTGAAGTTATTTAGGGTTTTGTAATTAGTTACTTGAGGTAATTTAAGAATGAAATAGGGATTTGAACAAATGCATTTTGGATGGGCATATGATATCCGATATCATTGTTAGGTCTGCCATGCTTCGGGCCTGAGTACTGTTGCCTGACATTTTAAGTATCATCTCATGCAGATACCAGCCTCCCCTCCCAGCTGATCAAGTAAAACCTTTAAATGAATATGTAGAGGAAGGAGGTGAATCGATATTTGTTTTCTTCAAACATAGAATACATATTTGACTATATACCATGAGTTACTTAAATTTGATCTGATACAGAAAGCTCACCTATGGTGCGAGGAAGGGGTCGGGGTCGGGGCCGGGGTCGTGGAAGGGGCTGGGGTGGAGGTATTACCAACCACTTTATATGCTGTTATATAACTGTAGTTGGCTCATGTCTTTGGTTCTGAATCATGAAAAACTCTCTGGTTGATCTTTTTATTGTTAGATTTTGCTTGACTTATTCAGTTTTGTTTCATTGGAGTTGGCTAAAATTGCTTACTAGGGCGCAATCTGTCTCTTGTGCTTAGGGAATTACAATGGAGGTGTAGAATATTATGGAGATGGCTGGGATAGTGGGCGAAGCTATGGAGGCAGAGGACGTGGCCGAACAAGGGGTCGTGGTAGAGGACGAGGCTATGGGGGCCAGCCTGCTGGTTACTATGATTATGCTGAATATGATGCACCACCTGCACCACGTGGTAAGCTTACATGTTGATGGCATCTAGTCTCCTACAGATGGAATATAAATGTTATGCCCAAATTACTATCTTATTGTATTGTCAATATAATTTTTGTTTCAGGCCAGGTGGGTTCTGGCGTATTAAATGGTTTTTTTTTTTTTTTAAGTCAATGTCATGTTTTACAGGGTGCATCTTTTAAATCAAGCTTCTGATGGAAAAGATCAAAATTTATCTCATTGGATTCCACACACTTCTTCCATTTCTTATTTTCTTTTTTGTTATCTCATATATGAATGAGGTTGCACATCATATACTAGGCCTTGAGCATGCATGATGGTAATTCTCATTGTTGGTGATTTTGCAGGGCGTGGCCGTGGAAGGGGAAGGGGTTGTGGACGTGGTCGTATTGGTAGATTAGATGGAGCAGGTCGGGGTGTTGCTGCATGATCGACTGGGTTGGTTATCGTGTATACTTTCAGTTGGAAGATGGTTTTCTTCTGCTTAGTTCCATGTGAGATTTGCTTATATTTTGGTATTTATTTGGAGTGTAGTGTTGCACCCTGGTCCTTTGCAGTTTTGCCCAAGTCATTTTTGTTTTTTGTTTTTCCTTTGCCTTCTCTTATGTAATTTTTAAGTTATAAATTTTCCTCAATTTTCACTAGGTTGCTGGTTAGGTATATTTCCTTCATATTCTAAGATCGAAAGTGTACAATTTCCTTTTCTTTTAATAGGAATTGTGTTAGTAAATTCTTTCAATTTTACATCAGTGGATGTTGCATTAACATACTGTAGTTTGTACCTATAGAATTGGATTGATAGATTTTTGGTCAACTGAGTTATTGTCAAGAGTCTTTGATGTGCTTCTCTCTACAGTATTATGATGTCACAGCAAACTTGAAAAATCTTTCCAGCCTGGCGGGCTCAGTTTGCCTGATTGAAGTCATTTATTTATGCACCTGTGTTTTCCTGGGTAAACTTTTGAGCAAGGCTTGTGTTGTAATACATAAATGCCTTGAAGGAAAGGTTGGGAAGGTATCGCATTTCATCTGTGCGTGATGAGGCTACTTTCATATTTACTTTGGACCCCCCTTATCCAAACCACATATTCTGTGCCAGTTTGGTATAAAATGAGAATGGGAATCTGAATAAGCATGTGAAATGAGCTTGCTTAAATACTTATCCTCCTATGATTGGAATGTGTATTACTATTTTTCAACCAACCAAAGTATAACTTCATTTCCTATTCCTTCTTTAGAAAGATTTTTTCCACTTACGGGCTGTATCATAGTTTTTACCACGTTGCTTCGGGGTTACAAACGCGCTCCAAACCTGGAAGATGGGTATTTTTCTTAAGAGTTTAGAATGGCACAAGTAAACCCAAGAAATGACAGTGGATCCACCTGCAAGCAATATATTTTTAGCCTCCCAATTCCAAAGTCTTTTACTATGTTCTCAAGTGGGATCCACCATTCTTAGAAGGCGAGCTAACTGCTCCTTGCACAGAAATTGAAGCAAGACAAATCTCCTTTTGACGTTTTAATTTTTGGGGCTTGTTAGAAATTGTTTTTATTTTAATATTTTATAAAACATGCTTTTGAGGAAAAAAAAATAAAAACATGTGATTCTCTCTTGTTTCTCAGAATAAAAATTTCAAAATATTTAAAAGGTGTTTTTGGTTTTCTATTTTTCATAATAATATTTAGTTTTCTTATTCTTCAAAACACTTGTTGAAAAATACATTATAAAACATATTTTTTTTTTTGAGAATAGAAATTATTTTCAAAATAAGTTATCAAACAAGCCCATTCCTCATAATCAACACACTGAACTTGTTGCTTTGATTGATAAACAGGTGAATCATCTACAAAATAAGGTTCCTCCCCATGCTAGTATCTTAGGTTTGCCTTAGTATCAGAATAGCACCTTACGAGTCCCCTTCAATGACAACCCTTCTAAAATCTAAACCCAATCTCTTTTGCACAAGCTAACCCCAATACCATACAACCCATAGTTGTGCCAATATAGCATAACACATCTCCATTTTCTTTGCACATCTTTTAAGCTAATTTGCTTCTCTGTAGATGAGGTGATATCCGAACTACTCTTTTACACCATCAAAAATCAAAAAGTACATTCAAATTGATTTAAAAAAAAAAATGTTCCAAGTATGCTTTTCATGCAGAAAACATGTATATAGCATTAATACATGATTAGTGCTTCATATCTTAGTCCCCTTTTCATGCAGAAAACGTGTTTAAAATCAAACACAAATGAAAAATTGATTAGGATCAATGCTTTATATCTTACAACCCTTTTATCTTGTAGAGACTTCTAACTTGAAAAACAATTCAAGTTGATATATATATATATATATTAGTGGGCGGCAATTCCATTGAATATAATTTACACAGAAAAATCTAGCTCCGCTCAAGTAATAATAAGTCAATTGATATAATCTTACCTAATTGCTAACATGAAATAATATTGACCACAGACAAGTGAAAACTACATTAGGGGTTTCTCCAGACATTGGCCTTGATGATTCTGTTTTTATCATCTTCAACAATAATAGGAATGGTGGTCATGTAAATACTCTCAAGCGATCTATATTTCTTCTGCTTCTTGCCCCGAACAACCTCGTCACTCCCGAAAATCTCATTAATTTTTGCAGAAGTCGCATCGCTCTGTCTTCGAGCTTGATCAACGTCGTCTTCTTCATCTGTGATCATCTCTCTCTTCTTCTTGTGGTTATCGTTATCGTCATCGCAAAGCTGCTGATGAACCGCTTCGACGACATCGTTGCTCGCCGTCAAGCCTTTCTGGTTTTTGCTTTTGCATGAAGCAGAAGCTTCTGTCATTGCCATTAATCAGTGTTTTGGTTGATATTAATGGCAAAGAAAATAATATAATCTGAGACTCTATTTCTAATATTGAGGAATTTTGGAAGCTTATATATGTGTGTCGTGTGGGAATCGGCGACCGTGTCGTGAGGGTACGAACGCGTTGTCTCGGAATTGGCTAATGATGAGAAAGTACAAGGATGGTTCTATGAACATGGCCACACTAATATATATTTGCTTTAATGACCACTAATTAGCTTGAACAAATTCTATTTCTTTTTTTTAATACAATGATTATATTCTCCTTCTAACTAGGGAAATTGGGTTTGACTAATGGCGGGAGTAGAATGATACTGGAATTTTGAGTTTGAAATTTATAGTTATACATAAAAATGTCGTAGGTATTATCGAGGTACTGGTAAGATTATCGCTGGTCAGGACAATCTCACGCAATGAGGGTCTAAATTAGTCTAGGTGGATAATAATAATATGCTTCAAGATTTTCTAGAATAGATGAAATAAAAAAATGAATATATTCTGATAAATTGGTCCAAGATTTCGAAGACTACTACATATTTGGTAAGAGAAATGTAGAAGAAAATATATGGATTTTGAAATGATGGTTTGTATATATATTTATGCATGAATTCTGGATAATTAAAAAAGTGTGTTATCAATATTTCAATACTATTATTTTCATGCAAAACAATGCTAGGTTTTGTAATTAATAATAAAATTATATTAAGTCATGCTATTCATAAATTTTAAATAATATTTATCATTTTTTAATTTAATGTATGTGAAAGAAGATTGCGTAATTAACAATAAAATCTCAATGACTTGTTTTATAAGGTAATGCTTTTCATTATAAAATATTTGCAATATCTTTTTCCCCCCCTAGGACGCATGGATACTTCTTACATTAACAAATAATTAAATGGCCATATCTTAATAGAATTAATCTGTGATATGATTAATAACAAAAAAAATTGATAAGTTTAGCAAATTTAACCAATTGCATCTAGCTTGAGTTTATGAGTAAGATGATACGATTTTGTAAAATAAAAACGTAAGAATGATAAATTCAAAAAATTAATTTATAAGTTTAACTAAATTTTACACAGTTCGAGTTTATGAGTGAGGTAACATAATTTTATAAATTTAAAATATAAAAATGATAAATTTAAAGAGTTAAGTTGAAAGTTTTACAACATATCAATGTACATGCAAGACAACAAAACATATATCACTAATTATATTAAGTTTGAAATCAATATTATTTTGTTGTCTTGCGTGGAATATAGTAAAAACGAATATTTACTGCGAAAGAATCCACATAGGCATTCACAAGACCGTGTCTTCATTAATTCCAACTCTGATTTTCGTTTTTTATTTAGTTTTGCGAATATTGAAATAATTCATTTTAGTTTTTAGTCATCTATTCCTTCTCACCTTTCTATTTCAAAAAATTTAATTTGCTTGGAACTTAATATATATATATATATATATAGTGTATGTAAATCACTCAATTCATTTTTCACACTTTCACATTTTTTTATCTAGAAGGAACTTTTACTACAATAAATTTAGCGATTCAAAATATTAAAATACGCAATTCAAGTGATTAAGCTAATAGTTTGGTGACATGCATACGTCCATAATCAACAAATCTTGATCTATAAAACGGTTTAAATATGGCATCTTAAATTAAACCTGCGTGAAAGAAAAAATAAGATAATTTAATAAATTACCCTTTAAACTTTAAATCAATTAACATTATAAATCTTAAACTTATTTAATATGCAACTAATTTTTTTAAATTTTAAAAATAAATACAATATGGCTCTTGTTATTAATAAAAATTAACTTTGACATCAAAAATAAATTTTTAAAGTAATTTTCTATTCAATTAATGATCAAAATTAACTTTTATTATTAACAAAAAACATATTATATTATTTTTAAAAGTTAAAAAAATTATTTATATAATAAATAAATTTAAATTTTGTGATGTTATTGGATCTAAAATTTAAAATAATTCGTTCATTTATGCAAAAAAATATTATTAGTGAACTAAGTTACTTTTAATTAGGTCCAATAATATTCAAATTTAACTTATAATAACGGATATTAGATAGTTATAAGAAAAGATTCAGGCAAAAAAAAAAAAGAAGATAGTTATAAGAAAAGATGAATGCATTATACATAATTAGATCAAATGAAAATATGACACAAGCCATGAAGTATAAATTCGAGATCCTTAGACTGAAATCGTCGATACGTTGGTTAATTTTAAAAATACTTTTTATCTCATGTGAGAGAGAGAGAGAGAGAGAGATTTGACATTTACTTTGACTAGTCAAAACGATGGATCCAACTATACATACTTGACTTTTGTTTTGGAATCCCAAAACGACTTTGAATGGACTCCGAACAACCTAAAAGGAACAAACAGGTCAACTTGGGACATTGATCAGACTTTTTCTTGTTCAATCAAACAATCTTTCCTCTGCTTTTTTTCAAGATTTCGATCATTTTGAAGCTAAGGCGAGTGCTCGCCAGTTCTATATTAGTCCGACGTTGTACAAGGGAAAGACTTTTCGGCCAATAATTGTAAATATCATCATCGTGACTTTTGAATTCTCTGTTTCATCACTACATTGATGCTACTGTTTCAAACATTAATATTGACATAAATAAAATATTTTTTAAAAAATCTGGATTTATTGTTCAGATAAAAAGTTCAAAACTAATAAAGGTCTAAATAAAAACAACAGTATAGACAATCTGAATCAGTGAATAATACAGATATATTATGTGATTTCTCGCGATTGAAGAACTGGAAAAAATTATACTTCTTCAGAAACTGAAGATATATTTAAAACAATTGTATCAACGAAATCTAAATTCATCTTTGATTGAATAGTGATAATATAATTCAGCGAATGAAGGCCTTAGTTCTAAAACCAGCAAGCCATCTCAAGACCAATCTTAATAAAGTTCATCTGTACATGGATCTGTGACACACACACACACACACTTCTCTTCACTCTTAACACGTTACATCAAAATCAATAAAAACTTTAAAATTTATTAATTCTGTACAAAAACTTAAAAAGAGATCAACTTTACCTTAATTAAATATACATATTTTAATAATATTTTTTTTTAATATTCGATGGAGGATAAAAAAAAAATTTATGATAAAAATTTAATAATATGACTTATAGATATAATAATTTTTTTTTTTTGCCCTAAAAATAGAATTGGTATATACATATATAATAATCAAAATAATGTACAGGATCTTTTAAAATAAATTCACTCAAATGTACTAACTAAAATTAATGTAAGCGGTTCTCATCACTTAAACAAATGTTTAGGAGTAAGAATCATAGCCCTTATGTGTGTGGGAAAATTAAAGTTTACCTTTTAGCCTCATAACTCATTTTAATATAACATAGCACTTTCTTAGCCTCATAAATATTAGGTGAAAGCTCGTTGTACTCCGACAACATCTCATATAAGAGTTCAAGCAAGTATGTGAAACTCTTGTCGCTCCATCCATTCGCTGCTTTTAGGTTGTACAATTTCAAAACAACTGATAGTTTTATGAATTTTTTACAATTGGGGTACAATAGTTTATCAGCATCACTCTTCAATTTCTCAAACATATTATGACAGTCTCTAAGATTCTCTTAATCATTTTATCAAGACGGTCAACATCATATGTCCCACTATCCCTTCAATCATTTGTATTATTCCTTGTCTCCCCATGCATGGTCCAACAAGTATAAGTTGGGTTAATCCCATGACATATCAAATGATTTTTCAATTTGATTGGCCTTATTTTTTTTTCCATAGCAACATTTTAAACAAGGACATATAACTCCACAGGGATTTCTATCACGACAAAATGCAAACTCAATGAACTCATTGACACCATCTCAATATTCTTTAAATAGTCGATTAGTCGATATCCACTTACGATCCTTATCACTAATGTAATCATTGAAATTGAAGAAACAAAGACTTAGAATTTTTAAAAAAAAATTGACAAAACCCTCCCTAAAAGTGAAAGATCTCAAATAATCAAATCCAATAATATAGCAAAATTAACCATGGTGATAAATTATTATTATCACACTTAGCTTCAATTGTTATTATTACATTAAAATTAGTGTAAAAGTGTGTGTTTTGATATGCAAATTAGTGTATAAGTGTGTATTATTATCACAACTATAAATGTGTGTTATTATCATAGCCAAACAAAAACATTTCCACATAAAAATTAACTAACATGAGATTAATGCCATAAAAAAATTAACCATCAATTACTATATATTATTAATCCTACATTATTCATAAAACACACACACACACAATTATATATATATTTTTTATTTAAAAAAACTTGATATAGCTTATTGACGAGACTCCCCGAGATTGAGAGGTGGCAGTGGCGTAAGCTTATTGATAAGGCAGCGAGCGGTGTGAGCGGCGATGATGGAAGGGGTCTGGCATTCTACAATCTATGATTTGAGAGCGGTAAACTTATTTGTGATCTTCGATCTGCGACTTTAACGATGGTCTAAGTGAGGTTTAGTGTTCAGATCGATTCTGGCAAAGCGGGCAGCGGTGGGGGCAATGATGATTAATAGATGAGGACTGTGAAAGGGTTGTGTGAGACTATACATATAAATCTAAAAAATTGAAGTTGTACGCATGCGGTTAAATAGAAAAGCAATTTTTTTAAGATTTCAGAGCTCTCAACTATTGAAATCATGAAACTATTAAATTTAGGAGCGCTTAGGTGTGAGCGCTCCTAAATTGGTAGTCATTTTAGAGTGCTCTATGATTGAGCACTCCAAAACACTCAACTTTAGGAGCCCTCACACAGTGAATGCTCCTAAGCATTATTTTTTTTTTAATTTTGGTAATCATTTCAGAGCACTCAATAACTGAGCACTTTGAAACGATTAACTTTAGGAACGTTCACACTAAACATTATTTTTTTTAAAATTTTTTAAATATTTTTTAATTGATTTTTTAATTGGAGCTCAATAACTAATTTTTTTAAATATTTTTTTCATATTATATTTAAGAGTCTTTAGGATAAGATTTTTTATTTTTTAATTATTTAATATTTAATTTTAGAGCGCTCTTTATAATGAGCACTTTTAAATAGTGTCAAACCGGAATACTCTTTTAATCAAGCGCTCTGATAGGTTTTGCTTCAATTTTTAAGAGCGCTTTTTTTATAAACACTCCAAAAGATATTTTGATGGATATTTTTTGTAGTAGTAAAAGTTTACCTTTTATTCTTACTATTTGGGAAGATAATCTCTTTGGTTGGAGGAACGCATTCCTTATTTTAAAAAAAAAAAATCACTCGAATGAATTGAAGTCGAATGAACAAAGACACAAATATTCCAAAGCAAATAGAGCAAAATGCAAAATAAGTTATGAGAACTGATTGATTATGGCAGGCAATAACAAAAGCAAAAAATAGTAATATATTCTCTTTAATTTTATTTATAAGTTATTTTTAATATATTTTATCAGAATAAAAAAAATTTGAAATTTCATTAATTTATTTATTTTAGTAAATGTTTTTAAATCTTATTACTAATATTTTTATTTAAAGTATTTAATAAAAAAAATATAAAGAGGATAACTAAAAATTAATAAATATTTTATAAATAAAATTAAATTTTTTTCTCTTTTTCTTATAAATAAAATAAAAGGAGTATAACACAGTGAAGTGGGCATGAGGGATTTTAGTGAATAGGGAATCTTATTTTTACTGTTACAACTTTTAATATGATGGTTCCTTTGAACTGGCCTATTAGCTCAGTTGGTTAGAGCGTCGTGCTAATAACGCGAAGGTCGCAGGTTCGAGACCTGCATGGGCCATTTCATGTAATTTTTTTAATTTCCCAATTTCACTTTTTAAATCATCGCCCATTTACTGTTTTCTCGATAAATCCGGTCTCAACGCCCACGCGACATTTTATTATTTACTAATTTGCCGAGTATTTTTGTTTTGTTTTAATTTGCCGAGTATTTTTGTTTTGTTATTTATTCTATTTACCAATATATTTTCCCCAAAAACTTATTTTATTTATCAAATACCCTAAACATTTATGACTTTCTGTATTTAGGTATTTAATTAACCAACATCTGAGCCGTTTTGTCATAATTTATTTTCCAAGTTTTACCCTCTTATTTCTTTATTTCGCCATGTTTCTACAAAGAAATTTTATTTATCAAATTTTACTCTATTTATTTTTCTTTTTGTTGATATCCCTCTCCGGCATTGTTTTATTTTCTACATTCTGTCAATATCTTGTTTATGGATTCCCACTCCTTTTTTTTTTAATTTCAAATTTAGACAATTTTAGACCAAAAAAAAAAAAAATCTTCCTCTATTTTGTCATGTATAGCCATCTCCTTTGTAGCTATATTCCATCCCAACGAAACTCGACCCACTTATAATTTTGTTAAAAAATATGACTTTTAATTTCTAAACTTTTATTCAGTTATATATTGATTCAATTTTTGAATTTTAACTCAAGACAATTTGGTCTTTATAATTAACCTTTAGCTCAGTTGACTATAAAGATTGATTTATTTTGGGTCAAGTCAGAGACCAAATTAATTTCCAAGAGAAAGTTCGGGAATTGATAAAATTCGTCAAAGTTATATTTTCTCCTTTTTCCATTTTTAGTCAATAATACCCCTGCCCCGAATTTTCTTTTAAGCCTCAATCTTCTACCTTCTACTTATTCCATTTCTAGATCGATATGTGAATTATTCTAATTTTGTGAGTGCTTGTTTAGTTTGAGATTGAGCTGGGACACTGATAGGCGTTTATGAAATAATGGACGTACGACTAAAGAAAATAATAATTCATCAAATTATAATACAATCATCACTAATTATTTCTCCTATTTATTCCATTCAATTAAAACATCAACACAAGTTACGTGGCCTTATGAAGAACTCTAATTCCCTTCCAACGAGACTCCATGTAGTAAGAAGAATCGTCCTGTGAATAAACTCCAAATTTGAAGTAATGCGAGTCACCTCCCTGGCCTGGAGCTTCGTAAACCAGAACCCTATCTATATAAACCCTAACAATGGAAGCTTCCACATCATGGATCACATTTAATTGGAACCATCTGTCCCAGATATATGGAACAAGCAATGGCCTCCTGTAATACGCAAGAGAACCATCGAACGTCAAAATCATCAAAGTTGTTGCACGATTACGGTGTGCCCCAAACACTTGCATGATGCAAAAGCCTGAAGTACCTCTAGGTATGTATCCATGCCCGTCAAACTGCCACACCCCTGAAGAATAATCATAACCCTGAAAAAATCGAAAACATATTACATCATGTTGGGAATGAGAAACGACTGTCTGAAAGGAGGGAAGATAACAAATGGATAAGTTGAGCTAGCTAGGTTCAAGTTTATGTGAATGGAGAGTGATTATCAGAAAATGGGGAGGAAACAAATGGGTAACGAGAGAGAATGACTCCATATCTTATCTCAAAATTACAAGTCTCAAATTTTATAAATCCTTCCACTTTATGATGTATTACTTACATTAAGCTTAATTCTACCTGATATAGGATTTCTTATATTTGATCAAGTCTATTTATACTTGAACATCCTAACTCATCATGTTCTTTACTACTGTATATATTCTGAAAGAGAGTGATAAGAGGCTTACATGGATTCGGATTTCGGATCGAGGATTGGTAGGGCTAATTTTGCTGAGAGGTTGGTCAGTAGAGTATACCCAAAATTTGTGTACTCCGTTGTGGAATCTGTACCTTGAGTTCACGGGTAAGTTATAAGGCTTGTGATATTTAAAGTTGGATGTGTTGAGAGGGAGTTCAGTGAAACCTAGTGTTAGGTCCAGAGGATATGTGCTTCTCACACTTAGGAATGAGCAAGAACAAACCAGTAAGCTGATCAACACAGGAATCTGGTAAACAGATCCCATGTTTGAATTGAAGTAGCCAGATATATAATGGAGGTATATAGTGAGATAGATTGGTTGAATCTGTATGCTTATATTTATGTTGGTGTTGCAGGCTGAGAGTAAGCTGAATCATAATTGATAATATGCTAGGATTTAGCAGTTTTAAGGATGTTTTAGAATAATAATAAAAATATATAAGCTGAGTATGCTTAAGGGTCACTTGGAAAGTACGTAGAATGTTAAGTAAGTTATGACACCAACTCAAGACAATTTTCCAACCAAAATTATCGTTAAAAAAGTACGTATCTGCTATGTCATCTTATTTAATTTGTTTTGAACATGCAAGATAAGGTTCTAAAATGGATGCTTTCATAAAGAAAACTAGAAAAGGTCAAGGACATGTATTAACAAACAAACATTAAGGGGGAAAAAAAAAGTCAAGGGCGGCACTGTGATAGAAAATCAATTGCCGTGGGTTGATAATGATCGAATATATAGTCAATTAAAACATTGAAACTTCACCAAAAATATTTTTTATTAAGAGATCGATTACAATATGATATATAAATATTGCGTGCTTTCACAGCTGGTATACATACGTAGACAAGAAAGATCACGACGCCCCAAATACAAGGTGATTAATAGTAAGAGCCTAATTAACCTAGTACGGCCTGCTAGCCAGGTACTTTTCTTTTTTTAATTGCCATTACAAAAGAAAAAGGGAAGGAAAAAAAAAAATCATTTTAGTGACGGTTCTTTAGCGATGGTTATGCTAAAATAGCCATTTCATAAGCAAGACGAAATAAATGAAAAATAGTTTTTGAAAACTTTGATATATCCTTTAATGCAATATGAGATTCCATGTAATGGAAGGATGGTATAAACTATAAACCCCCAAATATGATCTTATACTTGAGATTTGAGAATGATATCAATATAATTCTTGACCCTAATTATATAATGGATGAATATGCAAATTTAGCTCTCAACTATTTTTCCAAGAGTATTGGAGGCCTATACTATGAGGTAATACAAAATAAATTTTCAAATTTCAAAAGCAAATTGCATCCAGCAGTCTCTGTTAATTTTTATTTAATGGATATTAACTTCCCAAGTGAGGCTTACAAATTTTTGACTGAAATGACGCGTGACACTCCACTTTAAAAATAAAGGTGCAAATCTAGTCATGAATTATTTTTTTAAAAGCATTGGTTAGCCTATACTATAAAAAACAGACCATTTAACACATTTCCATCCATTTAATTAAATACTATTCATTTTCAGACTTATAGGACCCATAACATGTTAATCTCTCATTTTTCTTGTCTTTGTTCTTAGTCTTAGCTAGAGAAGAAAAAGTTTAAAGAGTTTTTATATGAAGACATTTACGAGGATGATGCCAATGAAGTAGAAGAGGAAGAAGACAAGGTCTCATTTAAATCTTTGTAGCCATTCAAGTGAAGTACGTAACAGTCTGAATTGCGATGCTACTATCCATAGGTGAAACAAGATTTAATCGCTTCATTTTTTATAAAAATAATTTATGGCTAAATTAAGCTTGAATCAAGCTTCCCCTATGTGTAGTAGCATCGCAATTCAAAATGCTATTTCGTTTGAATTGCCATAAAGATTTAAACGAAAGCTTGTCTCCTTCCTCCTCTTCTTCTATTTCATTAATATCATCATTGTGAATGTCTTTAAATAATAATTCTTTGAATCTCTTTTTCTCAAAGTAAAATTGAAAACAAAGGCAAAAAGATTAAAGAGATTGATATGTTGTGAGTCACCTAAATTTGAAAATAAACAGCGTTTGATTAAAATTGATAGGAAGGTTCTAGATGGTTTTTTTTTTATAGTAGAGACTACCTAATGCTCCTTCAAAAATAGTTGAAGACTAGATTTGTACCTTTATTTGCTGAGGTGGAATACTGCTATGTATCATTTCAATCAAAAAATTGTAGGCCCCACATGAAAAGTTAACACCCGTGAAATAAAAATTAATGAAGGTTGCTAGATGCTTTGTTTTTTAAAATTGAGAATTTATTTTGCACCACCTTATAATATAAACTATCAAGTGCTCATAAAAAATAGTTAAGGGCCAAATTTACATGTTTACCCTTATATAATTTTAATTTCTTTCAAATAACTTGACCTGAAAAATGCTTATAACATAATATTCGAAAAGAAATAAAGAGGAAAATACAACAAAACTAAAGATGAATGTGTACTAATTAATTTTATGCCGACGTTATATCGCCTTTTTCTTTAAATGTTGGAACATATGAATCTAGAAGTCTCCTTCGTTATTTGTTTTAATTTTAAAATTATTCATTATTAGAAAAAGCTTGTGACATGCAGGAAAAAGCAATTACGGAGGATTCAAAGGATTCAATAATAAAACTCAAGATCAAGGAGTTTGGAGAAGTGTTCTCTTGGTTTCATTGTCATTTAATCTTCTCTCCATTCTGTTACGGCAATACCCTCCCACATTTTATCTCTGTCTTCGCCGGAGTGGAGGGGGGACCAGCCAAGAAGGCAACAACACTCTCCCCCAAGTTTTGAATTTTTTTTTTACATACTTCTTACCTCCCTAAAATTTATAACAGTTTTGAAGTGTGTGTATATATTTATATATTTTAATCTCGACCATAGCATTGTTAAATTTGCTTTTTTTTTTAAATTGCTTACATGTATTTTTCTATCTGAGGCAATTCTATTTGAGAAATGATTGAACACTAAATATGAGAACTCCTCCCAATAAGCAATCCTGGCTATGCACCAATGGGCCTCTATGTGTGTAGGCCTGCTTATTAAACATTAGAGAATAGATACTTGTAAATTTTTTATTAATGAGTTATGTTAAGATATTCAAATACAAGTGGACCTGGGTTGATATAAAAGTCCCATATTGATATAAAAAATTGAATTTAATAAGTAATATATATTGAAATTGAAGGCCTTATAATTTCAAAGATTAAGATGCGACTTAACTTCTTTCCCTATTCATGTTTGATCTCATTCCCAACAATAGAAGTTTGGATAGTTGCCGCCGAAGGACAATGCGTTCAATCATTACTAAACTACTAACTTGTCATATTTATTTCACTCAATTTAACAAGTGGCGTAAAAGCACATACATATCCCAGATCAATCATCAGTCGTGAGCTTTATGAAGGATTCTAATTCCTTTCCAACGAGACTCCATGTAGTAAGAAGGATCATTCTGTGTGTAGACTCCAAATTTGAAGTAATGGGAGGCACCTCCACGACCAGACGCCTCATAAACCAAAACCCTATCAATATAAACCCTAACAATGGAACCTTCCACATCATGGATCACATTTAACTGGAACCATCTGTTCCATATACATGGAACTAGCACTGGACTCCTGTAATACGTAAGCGAGTTGTTGTAAGTCCTAATCATTAGCGTCGTTGCTTGTGGAGGATCCGCTCCAAACAGTTGCATAATACAAACCCCTGAAGTACCACTAGGCACGTATCCATTCCCTTCAAACTGCCACACTCCTGAAGAATAATCATAACCCTGAAAAACATCACCAAACATCATCAAAGATGTCCTTGAGTTTGTAATAACTTGTATTGCTTGATGTGAAGAAAAAATCTGCTGATTATTGATAGTGATGGTAATAATAGTAAAAGCAAACACCAACCCTTTGTATATGATTGGGAGATCGGGCTTCAAAGAGATTTGGGGTGATTCTCATATGCATAAATTATAAGTCATTTATAATCATATCACGTTTTAACAATATATATTCAAGAGAGTGATAAGAGGCTTGCATACGTGGATTCGGATTTCGGATCGAGGCTTGGTAAGGCTATTTTGCTGAGAGGTTTGTCAGTGGAGTACACCCAAAATTTGTGTACTCCTTCATGAAAGCTGTACCTTGAGCCTACGGGTAAGTCATAAGGCTTGTGATGCTTGAAGTTGGAGGTGTTGAGAGAGAGTTCAGTGAAACCTAGGGTTAGGTCCAAAGGATTTGTGCTTCTCACATTCAGGAATGAACATGAACAAACTAGAAAGCTCAACAAAGCAATCTGGTAAACAGATCCCATGTTTAAAGTAGCCAGATATCAGATATGGAGGTCGATCGTGAGATAGATACTGGTTGAATCTGCAATGGTTGTGTATTTATATTTGGGGTTGGAGTGAGAAGCAGAATCATAATTGAGAATATACTAGGATTTAGCAGTTTTAAGGATGTTTGAGAATAATAAAAATATATAAACTGAGTATGTTTGAGGGTAATCGGTTGGAAAGTAGAATGCTAAGTAAGTTATGACAGCAATTCAAGACAATTTTGCTATCGAAATTATCGTTAAAAAAATATGTATATGTTACGTCGTCATCTTCTTTACGATAAATTTCTAACGGATGCTTCCATTTTAGAACAGGTCATGGACGCTCTTACGCGCCACACTGATAGAAAATTCATTGCCGGTTTGATAATGAATGAATAAAACTTCATCAGAACATTAAAAGAAATTACAATGATATATGACCATTACTTTCGCAATGAGCAATTATATATTAAGATTAAGTTAAGACAATACTAAGAAATTAATTATCACAAGGTTCCAAATATATAAGGTAAAAACTCAAAATTAGTGAAAGCTTAATGGCCTGCTATAAGTCAGAAGAGTGAATCAAGAATCAGGTTTGATCTGAAGCATGTTCTGAAGGATGTGAGGATATTCGTTTCCCTTCATATATATATATATATATATAAAAAGAAATTTAGTGCACCAAATACAAGTTCATCTAAATGAAAAATAAAGGATAATGATAGTTTAAGTTCCACTATATTGCTTTTTCTTTATTTCTTTGCTATATAAAGTTCTTTTATTATCCGAATTATTTATTTAAAGTTATATCATTACTTAAGCATACATCTTTAATTTTTTTTTTAAAGGCATACATCATGAACTACTCGACCGTGTGGGGCAGTTCTTTTGCAGTGGTTATAACTATGATCAGTGGCATGGATCAGGGAGGGCGATTGGTAGGTGCCTTAATTTTGATCTTGGTATTATATTTATATATGGGAATAATATAATCTTTAATCCTTAAACTTTGATTCAATATGTTAGATTGTCCAAATATGAGTGGACTTGAAATGATGTGGGAAGCTTTACATTGGATAAAATTAGACTTAATAATTAATATAAAATAAAAAAACTAACTCATAAACTTGAGTTTTAAGTTAAGATGAGATGTTTTTTTTTGTGATCTTGCCCATTTCTCCTCTCCTCCTATTCTAAGGCATGGATTTGTTTGCACCACACCATTAGGCTATTCAAGTGTGAGTGGACTTGAGACGATATAGGATGCTCCACACCTGATAAAGTTGACCTTAATAACTAATATAAAATAAAAAGAATTGATTTTGAATTAAGATGTGGTGATTTTTCATTAATATTGTTTATTTCTCTTGTCCTCCCGTCCAGGGTGGTCGCTTATAAGTTAAGATTTAAGAAATTCAAATATATTGAATCATTAAATTGAGAAAAAAATCAATAACTAATAAAAGTTATACCCCCCAACACCCCCCCTTATATGTACATTTTTAGCCTCTCAAGATTTTTGAAAACTGTGTGTACTATACATATATTTTAATCCTGGCTATTTCATATTTAAATCCTTAATTCGCTCATAATTATGATGTATACTGATCATTTCTCTTCATAATTTGCAAACTTTCCTCCTTTGAGTCTGAGACCTTTTCCATTTTAAACAGTTATGAAGGTATCAATCGTCAATATACACAAAAAAATACGTATAAAATGTTCAAAAAAAAAAGAATATATCGAAATCACTTTTGGAAGGAAAATGTTTTTGATGCACAAATGTAGAAGTCTAAACTCTTTTATTTTTTAGTTTTGAAATTATTCACTATCAAAACAAGCTTATATATATACCAGGGAGAAATACAGAGGAAGGAATACACGATAAGTTCAAGGGATTAAGATCTTTCGAAATATATAAATACACCATCCATTTCATATCAATTATCGTTATAGTTGAGCTAAAATTTTTTTAAAAAAATGATATTAAAAATCACATTAAAAAACAGTATAAAAAATAATTTCCAATTATATTCTTATACTGCAACTTTTATTCCGCTATAAGTTATTAAATATCAAAGTGCTAATATTTTGATAAGATATTATTAAAACCAAATATTTTTTTTCAATTAATTACTGGTGTTGTTGCCAACAATAATGATCTGATAGTTATGATGTGGTTGATCAAAATAGTGTTTCGGTCTTACATGGTAAAAAATAACAATTATCTCTTGATATTTATTTATAATTTAGGAGATTTAATCGGTGTTAATTTTCATATAGAATATTTATTTGAAACTTTTGAGTTATTATTTGTCATTTTTAGATTTTTTATAATTTTTTTAAGTCAATTAACAGTTGAAATTAATTTTTAATTTGTTAATGAAATGGGTAGCATTGCATTGTTTTTAATTGTTAAAAAAAATTGCATTACAAAAATATTTAGGATAGACGCTCCTGTGTGAATAGTATAAAAGTAAAAATGTCCTTTAATTCTAATTTTTTATGAGAAAAGTAGTTGATGGGACGAATTGAATGGGCTAAAATTCGCAAAGATAATTAGTGATTATCCACTAATAAAATTTTTATATTAATAAAAAATTCAAATCTTCATTTACTAAATCAACTTTTATTTATTAGCTTTGAATCTTTAACCCTAACTAGTAAGTACTAGGCGTGTGTTTGGTTTTTGCTTGGGCAAAAGCCAGCTTGTTAAAAATTTATTTGATAAAAATTAATTATTGTAATAAAATTTATATTTAAGTAAAATTTTTTAAAAGTCAACTTGAACTTTAAATAAATAAGTGTGTAATTTTAGAACATAAGTTTTGAAAATTAAAAAAAATATAAGTTGACCAAAAGCACATTCAACTATATTTGAAAATGACTTTTTAAATGGATATTTTGAAAGATTAAAAACTAAACAATATTTGAATCCAAGTTCTATATATTTTAAAAGTCCTCTTGAAAATCCTAATTGAAAACCAATAGGCTCTAAAACATATACACATCTAAATCCTAAAGGTCACCTGGCCTCCCTAATACAATCATTACTTCCTAAAATTTATCAGTGATGTATCCGCACAGGGACAATATAATCAATTTGAATACCAATTTCTCAAATTTAATCCACTCAATTGATCATTCAAAACAAAGTGATCACATACAAGCACTTTAAAATCCCAGCCAGCTAAATATCATCAGATCAGTAGTGAACTTTATGAAGAACCCTGATTCCCTTCCAACGAGACTCCATGTAGTAAGAAGGATCATTCTGTTTATAGACTCCAAATTTGAAGTAATGGGAGGCACCTCCTTGGCCAGGAGCTTCATAAACCAGAACCCTATCTATATAAACCCTAACAATGGAAGCTTCCACATCATGGATCACATTTAACTGGAACCATCTGTCCCAGATATATGGTACTAATAGTGGACTCCTGTAATACGTAAGCGAACCATTGTAAGTTCTAACCATTAGAGTCGTTGCTCGTGGAGGATCCGCTCCGAACACTTGCATCACGCTCACCCCTGAAGTGCCACTAGGTATGTATCCATGCCCTTCAAATTGCCACACTCCTGAAGAATAATCATAACCCTGAAAAACATGGCCAAACATCTCATTGTATTGGATCATATTTATATTGGAAAAGAGAATGATGCAAATATAAGGATGATGGAATTTTATTCTTTTAAATTTGTCTTAATTATCAATTTAATCCCTTAAGTTTAATTTTTTATTGATTTAGTCATTGTTATTGTACGAAGAATAAGTAATATCGCTAAAATCTACTGCTATTGATAATGGAATATTAAGTTAGAAGTCGAAAAGAACTAAAATTTTTTAGGAAAAAAAATAGAAAAAACTCAAAAAATTGAAAAAAAATAAAAGAATAAAATACTGCTTAAGGGATTAGATTAATAAAAAATAAACTAATTTGAGAGCCAATTTATCGTTATTTAACTCCATATATATATCAAGTAAGATTAATTTAATGGCCAATTTATATTTTAAAATTTAAAAGACTAAAGTGATGACTTTAAAAAAAAATAGGAGATTAGATTGATAAAAATTAAGCATGATGGGCCAAATTGATAATTGGGGTAAACTTGAGGCATTAAAAAGTTTCCTCACGCCAACAATTTAATCACACATGAAGAGGAGGCTTACTTGAATTCGGATTTCAGATCGAGAACCACGGCTTTTCTTGCTGAAAGGTTTGTCAGTGGAGTATACCCAAAGCCTGTGAATTCCATGGTTGAAGCTGTACCTTGAGCTTGCGGGTAAGTCATAAGGCGTTTGAAGTTTGAAATGAGAAGTATTCAGAGGGAGTTCAGTGAACCCTAGGGTTAGGTCCACAAGATGGGAGGTTCTAACACTTACCAATAAGCAAGAACAAACAAGTAAGCCACAAAACACAACACTCTGATAAACAGATCCCATGTTTAAATCGAGACGAGAGTATTGTGAGATGCAGCTATAGCCTGAATCTGCGTGCATTTATACATGCTAGGCTGTAGCAATACTCACCTATTTGCTGGCCATGAAATATATATATTTTTTAAATATAGATATTTAAATTTTGGATGCATCTATCTCTTTCAGGGTCACTTGGGAAGTAGAATACTTAAGGTGGGGTTAAGAATTGAGACAAGTTTTCTTGTGAATCCCTTGCCTATATATATATATATATATATGACGGATATAAAATTCATCGCCGGTTAATACTGATGATATAAAACTTCAACAAAATATTTAAAGATTTTCTAAAAAAAAAATACAAAGGAGGAGGCAATCTGTACAAAGATTAAGATGTAAGAAAGATTATCACACAAAAATCCCGATTAATTACAAGGTCACAAGTCATAACCTTATAAACCTAGTAAGGCCTGCCATCAGGTAACTTTTTTAAAATAAAAAAAAATTAATCGCAAATAGCTTGCTACGGCCGGCTTGTGTGCAAGATAATGTATGTCTTTCTCTCTCTATATGTGTATAGATCTGAGGGAAAAGTTATATTTTAGTTTAATGTCTCTAACAACCTAATGATTTGCTTTTAATTTTATATAAATGGTCTGTAGAGAAGTAAGATTAACTAGTTATTGCCGATTTGAATTCGGATTAAAATTGAATGATTCATATTTAATATTATTTTATCCTTATATTTTAATAATATTTTTATTTTAATAAATGTAGGATCTAAAATAAAAATATTCTTTATTTTTCATTTTATAAAAAAACTATGTTTGATTTAAAAATATAAAAATAAAATGAGATTAATTTTGGATTGTTCAATTTTAATTTTGACGGTCTTGATTTGATCATCGCCTGCTGATTATTAAAGCTGGTTCCACCATCACTCACACATCGAGACACACACAACAAAATAACAAGTGTTATTCGATTGCATGGCCAGTACTACAAGGCTGAAGTACTCTATGTATCATGACTACGGTATAGAGAAAAAAAAAAGCGATGCTTTAGCTTAAAATGATCAATATAACAATTTAGTTTGATTTATCATGAAATGGAAAACTGGAGCGAACAGAACAATTGAACCGGTGAACCAGTCTCTTTGCTAGTACGATTTTCCATCTAAACAACTCTAAAGCTAACCAAGTCAACCCAGGGTAACCCAATATGACTCAGACAGATTAGCTGGGCCCAGAAATACCCCAGCACAAAGTCGTTTTGGGTATTTTTTTTTAAATATATATTCATAAATGAGAAATAAAAAGGAAAAAAAACATGAAAAATCACTCAGTCTTGTACCGTCTTCGTTCGCTTCAAACTCAGACCACGAAATCCTTAGCGGCCAAAAGAACTCTGTCTCTGCCTCTCTGGATCGGAAAACCCTCGTCGTCGCCGTCTCACTGTCAACCTATTTCTCCTTTCGTGGGGATCGTTTGAAGCTGAACTCCACATCACAGTCGCTCGTCTCACCATTGTTGCGGCTAAGGCTATCAGCTTTTGACCATAGTAGTAGCATGTAGTGGCATTCGCAGGGAAGGTGAAGAGAGAAGATAGTGTTTCCGCTAATGTAGAGGTACTAGAAGAGTAGGAGTGGAGTGTGGCAGGGGTAAGCTTTTTTAGGAGGTAGAGCGAGGCCGAAGTGAAAATAATGGAGAACAGGAAAAGCTTTGGAATTTGAATGATTTCTTGGTCTTCCCTGTGCTCACTGTCACTAGCGCTAAAAACTCTTTGACCGTGAAATTTTGCCCCTTTGCTTGTATTTTTTTTTTTTTAAATCTTGTTTATTAGTTTTAAACTTTTTATTTTCTTATTGACATTGGTCGATTCAATTTTCAATGCCTTATATAATTTATAAATGATTTGTGGAGAGTATTATGTGTTATAGACAAGTTGATCAGATTGGTCATTGCCCATATCCGAATTATTATTATTGTTCATATGATGATTATTACAAACCATTCAAGTTAAAAAGCATGGTACGTATATATAGAAACTACTTTGTGAAAAGTTTGATATCCTTCCAACGAGATTCCATGTAATGGGAAGGATCATTCTGAGTGTAAACCCCAAACTTGAAGTAGTGAGTGGCTTGTCCCCGACCAGGTCCATCGTACTTGAGGACTCCATCGATGTAAACCTTAACATTGGAAGAAGCCACGTCATGAATGACGTTGAGTCTGAACCACGTGTCGTACATGTTTGGGAACAGGACAGGGGATCTGTAATACGTGAGAGAAGCGTCGTAAACCCTGAGCTGAAGCGTCGTCGCAGAAGGGCTTCCTCCAAACACTTGCATTATGCATACCCCAGTTGTTCCACTTGGCACGTATCCATACCCTTCAAATTGCCACACACCAGATGTGTAATCGTGTCCCTTCAATTTTACAAATGAAATTATTGCAGATTTATATGAGTTAGTGGTCATAATGACATACACTATGACTAACCATACAGTTTGCTATTATGGCTTTCCTTATTATTAGATATTAGACTTAATAATTAATATATATAAAAAAATTTATAAATTTAAATTTTAAAATTTTGAATTAAAATGTGATATTTTTTTTTTTATTTTTCACTCATTTAACTTCATCGCCCCCTTCTAGGAAAATGAAGATGAATAATCTTATCCTTAATTGAGATTTTGGTTGAGTAAACTTCACAAATCTAAATCCTAATGCCCACCTCTGTCTTCGATTCTCAATCTTTTTGTTTTTGTTTTAAATTTTATCTTATCTTTTTTTTAAAAAAATTATTTACTATCTAAATAAAGAATTTTAAAAATAAGATTGTAAATCTAAAGTTTTAATTTAAATCCATCAATCGAAAGATCGCATGATATTATTATATAAAGAAATTTCTCTTTGTCAACAAAGTATATTTTCAATATTAGGAACTAGGAAGAATATTAGGAACAAAGTATATATCTGAATTGTCGTAATTAAGTGTATTTTCTTTTAAAAAAACAAACAGAAAGAAAAAGGGGGAAGATGAAACATCGAAGAGCTTACTGTTATTCGGATCTCAGTACGGGGTAGAGTGTCGCTGTCAGGGGTGTGAGGCTTGTCTGTAGAGTAAACCCATAACCTGTGAACTCCATTAACGAAGCTGTAACGCTGGTTAACAGGCACATCATAGGGCCTTTGCACCTGAAAATTAGACTCGTCTAAACCAACACGCGTGAATCCTTGTGTGGGATCCACCGCTTCCGACCTCACAGAAACTTGAAAAATCATCATTAGCTTCAAAACAATGATCACATGCAACTTCCATAGTTGCTCCATGGCTTCACCTTGCAGATATTGGTTCTTCAACCTCGATGTCACTCGTATATACACACGCAAGAATGGATGGATAAACATGGAAGAAGAGATAGTCAAATATTTTGGCCACATGATGTCACGAGTTTAAATTTTTATTGAGTGCCTGACATTTAGCATGTAGCAGAGGCATTTAGGCCCTGGCTTCTGACTTTCTTTCTCAGCTTAATAAAGAAGACAGAGAAATTAAAGAAAGGCGTGCTGATGAAGAAGAGTGGGCCAAGAAATGATATTGAGGAAGAATGCTCGTTAATTATTAAATAAAGTTAGAGCCGAAAATAAGAGTTAAATTTATTTAAATAAGGGTTGGGTTTTAAAAATAATTTTTTTTAAAAAAATTGAGTTTTAAGGCTCAGGCTTTTAAGGGTCAGACTTGTCGGTATTTTCCATTATAGGTAAATTGGATATTGCTTTTTGCTGAGTGACTCTAGAGCTAGGAATATGAGCAGGCCCGACTCTTAAGAATCTAGCTCTTATGGCCTCAGCCCTTAAGGGTTTGAACCCTAAAGCTCGATTCCTCATTTTTTACGCCATTTGTCAAGCCTGACCTTTATATAAAGGGCTCAAGGCCGGACCCGTAAGCCTTTTTTAACAAAATAAAAATTAAATTAAATATCATAAATTAATTAAATTATTCTGAAATTAAAATCCTCATAATTATTTTGAAATTAAATAATATATACTTAGAAGTCTAGTAATAAAATTTAAATCTTAATTAAAAAACAGTTCATTTTTTATAAATACAAAAATATAATAATTATAGAAAAATATAAAAAATTAAAAAATTTATACTATACACTGATATTTATTAAATTATATTAAATTAATTTTAAAATGAATTAAAATTAATAATAATATAATGTGTGTATAATTAGATGAGTAAATCATTGACTTCAAACACGCATTCTATCAAAAATAAATAATAATAATATAATAGGGTTTGAAGGGCCGTCCGGATCCGAACTCTTTTTTATCGAGTTTATTAAAATCAAGCTTTCAAACTCAAATACTTTTAAAAAATTATTTTTAAAATTTAAATTTTTATTTAAATGAAACCTTCAAGTTCGCCCTCATTTCTGATTCTATAAGTGAGTACACTGCATGTTGATATTAATTTAAAAAAAAAAAATTGGATGATGCTTTCGTTTGTTCAAAGTCAGAAAAGTGGAGCTGAGGCTTTAATGGACAGGACGGGGCGTCGCCCATTTGCAATATGATAAGTTGGTGTTGTGTCGGTGTTGAGCCTGGTAATGAGGGACAGCACATTCTCCGTCGCACTTGATCATATCTATAGCTGTTTGATGTGATCACAGCTTCGGACTTTTGGACTCGAGAAAGGGAAGTTGCGTAATTTTCTGTCCCAATGAATGCTTTTTTTTTCATTTTATTTTTTAACATTAAAATATACTACACTCATTTAAAAATATAAAATATTTTTTAAAAAATTATATATTTAAAAGTATTTTTAAATCTTTTAAAGTGTAATTATTTTTTTTAAAGATACCCCTATTGATAATAATTTTATACTTATTATAGAGTGTTTAATAAGGATAAATATAAAAAGATAAGATTAGTTTGAAAGTAAGTAACTACGCTATTGAATGAGATTTAGTTAAAAATGCCTTACATTTTTAAATGAAGAGAGATAATTTTTAAAAATATTTTTTAATTAATATTTTATTTATAGAAGAATATTAAAGACAGAAAATATAATATAAATATAGTAATATATATTAAAAAATATTACTAATAAAACTTTATTCGTATTAATTGTTTAAAATTTTGAGAGAGAGAGAGAACTTGATTTCTCTCTAATTGCGTCTCTACTATAAAGTTGAATTGTTCAGGTCAAGTTTTAAATATGAATTAATCTATATTTTAAAAACCATTACAATTATCAAATCCAATACAACCATGTATCCAATTTAAACTTGCAATGATATCTCCCTATTGAAAAAAATGAATGCGTGCATGCGTGAAGAAAGTTTGTAGCTGTTCAATTGATTAAACGAAGTATAGGAATATGCTAAATTATTCTTTAATTATCTCACTTTATATAAGATTTAATTTAATCTCTTAATTTTATAAAATATATTTTTAATTCTGTTATCCTAACATCATTAGTTTTAATTTTAAATGTTTATTTTTTTATGCCAATTATTGTTATTTTTTAAAAAAATTAAACTTACTATATGTCAACATTTGAAAATATTTTATCAACATTTAAAAGTTTAATATAAAAAATTTTTATGACACAACTAACAGTATTAGGATTAGAGAACTATAAAAATACTTTATAAAATTAAAAAATTAAAATAAAATATGATATAAAGTTAAAAAATTAAAATATATTTTAATATTAAAAATATATTCTTGAGCGTGCATCACTCTTTTGCTGTTAGCTGGTAAATGGAGAAGAATAGTGAGAAAGAGCCATTAGAGAGAGACTTTAACTACTTGAGTTCAAACATTGTTCTTTCTCGCTTTCTCACACACACATAACTCTTGCAGTATAATAATATTAATATACATACATACATACATACATACAAGGATTTGATCAGAATACACAAAATTTAAAACAAAACAAAAGATATAAGCATATGACCTTTTTATTTAAAAGAAAGGTACAAAATACTTACAAAGAGGGTAAAGAGAGATATGAGAGGAGAAAGGAAAATTACAAGAGGAACCCTGGAAGAGAAAAGATAAATTTACAAAGTGAGAAAAAGGATTCTTGACTGATGTTTGTATATAAAAAAGTTTTTTTTTTATTTATAGACTTTTGAATGGTGGTAGTTTGTTTGATTAAAATTAGGTTAATTGACTCTGATTTTTTATATTTAAATTTTCTTTTCTCATAACTTACTTTTTTTCTTTTGATTTTTTTACAACTTTGTTGATCATATTTTTTTATCTGTGACTTAATTTTCTTCTTTCGTCTCTTTTGTTCTTTTGTCTTCATTTTGACTTTCTTGTCGCATTTTTCTTTTTTATTTTCACTTCATTTATTTTTTCTTTTCATCACTTACTATTTTCTTTTTGACTTTGGTTACAATTTTCTCATTCCTCCTTTTCCGTCTTTAATCTAGATAATTCTGATAGACAAAATTGTTTGGAGCTGCTTATGAAGAGTTCCAACTGTTAAGGGTAGATTAAAGACAGATAAAAAAGGATAGAGAAAATTGCAACTAAACCAAAAGGAACATAGTAAATGATGAAAAAAAAAATAAAGAAAAAAAATGTGACTGTCAAAATGTCAAAAAAGTTAAAAGAAGACAAGAAACAATAGAAGAAAAGCAAGTTATGAAAAAAATGTTGCCAAAGTGATGAGAAAGTCAAAAAAAGATAAGAGAAGAAAAGTAAATTACAAAAAAAGAAAAGCCAAACACAAAAATTAAAGTCAATTAACCAAAGTCTAACCAAGCAAACCACTCTCATTTAGAAGTTTATAAATAAAGAAGACTTCTCCATGTATAGACATCCATCAAGAATCCTCTCTCTCACCTTGTAAATTTATCTTTTTTCTCCCAACCTTCCACTTGTAATTTTCCTTTCTCCTCTCAGGTCTCCCTTTCGCCCCCTTGTGAGTATTTTGTACCTTCCTTTTAAGTAAATAAAGTCATATGTTTTTATCTGATTTGTTTTAAATTTTATGTACTCATTATCGTTTTCTACTATTTTTCTATTATAGTCAGATTGTAATAGGGAATCGCTTGCTTAACCACTACTACAAGACTACATATTGGAGCCTTTGTCTAAATGGGCTTGTATGTGAACTAAACTATTACAGAAACACCACAATTTGTTCTAGGCTTAATATTAAAATAAGACTAATTACTTAAAACATGATTATATATTCTCATTAATCAATTAATGTTAATCTACACAAAATTTAATCTAACAAGCAGAATAAACAAATTGAATCGTAAAACAGAGGATGCGTATGTAAACATACCGAGGAACGAGGATGATGTAAAAAGAGGTGAACAACACATCGAGGATGCATTTGTACGTACAAGAAGCACAATAAGCCTGTTGAATCACATCTTACTATCTCTTATTCAATTCAACACTTGTAGATATATTGCTACGGAATGGAACTCAAGGTCTGTACAATTTTTGTTTTTTTTTTTTCTGAAGATGTCTCAACTTGCTATATCATGTATTCAAATGACATTATCGATATGATGATCTTATTGATTAACAATTTATATATATCTCCATAATTGTATTTTGAGAATGGAGATATATCTTATGCATCTTTTAAATTCTTGTAATTCAACTCACCAAAATTTCTTTATATATATAAAAAAAAACATATCACCCTATTGTGTTAGGACCCAAGAAACAATTAGGATGCAGGTGAATTTTGAGGAATATACGTTCATAAGAATAGGATGGAATAAAGGAAATTTTTTTATGGCTAGTTTGGTATGTTGAAATTGAGTCTTGAGAAATAGAAGTGAAAGTAAAAGCTTGAAAAATACATGCTTTGTGTGTGTGAACCCAATTTTCAATAGAATCCGCTTCCACCAAAATTGATAGAATTTAGTTCTATCAGTCACCCTATTGAGAGTAAATGATATATTTTAGGATGTTATTTTATATTGTCGTTTAGCCTTATTTTATCTTCTACAAATAGGCACGTACAAATCTTATTTAGTTTAATGCAAAGTATTATTCAAATTATCAATCTGCATTCGCATTGCGGTATAGTGTGACAAGGTAGTCCATTACCACTCAACATGGTATTAGAGCCAGGCTGGACATTGGGCTAGAGCAGAGGTTTCTTTTCTAGTTCAAGATTGTGACTAGAAAGTGGGCCGTACAAACAAGAAGCTGCTCCACAATTCAAGAATCCAGCTCAGTAAGAACCAACCTAAAAAATAGTATTTATTGCCTATACTTAGACCAGCCTCTACACATGAAATGACGCATTCCTTGATCCAGAATTAATCCACAAGATTGAATTCCAAAATTCTCTTTAGGTGTTTGCTCTCCTACTAACCCTAAACATATCAAATCCTCAAACATGATCATTAGGCAAAGATTATTCTCT